TAGAAACTAGTAGCAGAAGCTTGTGGATAATCCAAACATTTATAAATTAAACACCTTTCAAAGAGTGTTCTATTTTTCCAGTTTTTCTGTTAGTACATTTGTAGTGTACCCTTTAAAATGACCATGTGCCGTGTGGAGTGAAGGGAGAACAAAGGAGACGGCAGACCGGCCCTGTGACAGCAGTCCCTGGCTCTGCGCGTCAGGTCTGCTTTCTGGGGACAACTTGAGGATGGGCTGTCACGAGGAGCCGCTGCCTCACCCGCATGACAGGAGGCGGAGATGCAGCTCGGGCCCAGGGCTGAGGATCGCTGCTTTCAGAGGACAACATCCGGGCAAAACAGTGGCCATGAAGAAGTGAGAAGGGCGCCAGGATGGGAGAGGTGACGCCAGAGCTGCGGCTAGTACAGAACCTGTGGCGGCCTGGCACCACCATTCCTGGGGTGGGGACCACGGGGGAAGCCAGGTGTGGGTGGCTTAGGGGACATCGTTAGTGGATGTCCGAGGCCAACAGGCGAAGGGGTATTCCTGGGGGTGGGTGCGTGCTGGGGCTTCTGCCTTGAGAAGTCCATGATGTGCAGGTGGAGACGGACCAGAAAAGAACCTGGGATCAGCCCCACTCGCAGGCTGGGGAACGAGGAGCCAGAGGTGGCGGCAGCAGCAGGTGGAGGGGTGGGAGGGTCGGGAGGCTTCCGGGCAGAGATGGAGCGGTGGATTCCACCAGGCCCTGACCGGGCCATGGCAGTCAGGGAGGGGCTGGCGCAGGGACTTGTGGAGGGGCGGGGATGGACTATGGTGAGGTGACATAAGATCACTCCATGCTCTGAAGCCCACTGAGTTGCTCACAATGTAGAATGGTGAATTTCTCAGGAAGTGTGTCATCCACAGTGAAGCCATTTGTCAACCTGGCCCCCAGACCTGCACGCAGCAGTCTGGGCAGAGAGCAGGCGGGCCCGCTGGCAAGGCCAAGAGCAGAGAGGGGCTGGTGGGCAGCCACCGGGGGACCTCGCTGTGAGGCGGGCTGCTGTAGGAAGACTCCAGCGGAGAAGAGAGAAACGGCGGTGACCAGGGCCAGGCCGGGAGCAGAGCCGCCGAGCCACGGGGACAGGGCGAGCACAGGGCAGGTCTGTCCCCGGCTGCTTCCGGGAGCACAGCGACCAACAGAGGAAGGGCCCCCGGAGTGCAGCAGGGAGCTTGGACCTCGGTGTCACGAGCTTGGGCAGAACGGCTGTGACTGCTCCACCACACCTGGGGGCACAGGCACAGGGCACCTGGGCAGCTAGTGGGCCCGGCTGGGCACTCGGGACCGCGCGCACACACAAGATAGGGGACTCGGTTCATATTGCTGAACACCAATATCACTTTATTTGGATTATTTTCCCATTTGTCACAGACCTGTCAATGTTTACACAACGAGGAAAATCCCCCCGAACTCAAGCAACTGCCCGAATCAGTGATAACTGTGTGCCTGGGAACACGCTCAATCTTGAGGGACATCCTTAATTCGGTCCAGTCTCACAGCTATTAGAATCGGTGTCAAGATTGTCACATCTTTAAATACATATAGAATTGCGAGAAGTACATAATTTTATATATATACACACATACAGAAAAATACAAGACTGTTTTCCACAATATTTAATTTATGCACTACTGTACTCTATGCCACCTGTGAAGACAGAGGTCAGGGGACAAGGAGTTTGGTCCAAGAGTATCTCAATGTGATGGTGTTCCGCTCCCTCCTGCGGATGGCAGACGGCGACAGACGACACATGCACAGTCATTCACTTAGGGACAGGTAGACACCACGCAGACAGACATGTGGACCAGGGCGCCCGCGCACGCACGCATGCACGCACGCACGCCTAAGGCGGCTATGGTACAGCTCCGCGGCGTAAGCGCCAACACTGCCGACGCTAGCGTGAGCACCACAGAGATGTCAGAATATAAAAACCATTGAAAACCAAACACGTGGGGAGTTAAAAGGTGCCATTCCAAGGCTATGCACAGTCACAGGAAAAAGTATTTACAGGACTTGGAAAACAGCTGCAACGAAGTTTATTGCCAATGCCCTTTAGAAACGTCTCTCCTGCGCGGAATGCAGATGTTACGCTCGCTGTCGAGTGAACCGCACATCTTCTTTCCGGCCCTTTAGAGGATCCCTGCCCACGAATGTCAAGCAAATGTGTTCTATGGCTTCACCCACACATCTATTCTCATAGCTTTCAGCATAAATATCACAATGAACTAGAGCTGTAGTCTAACGTGCATCTAGCTAGCCTAGGTCTAAAGTAAAATGAGTACTTTAAGTAGCATCTGTACTTAGTATAGAAAGTATACTGTGTGAGTCGGAGTACAAGGCATTCAGCCCACAGTAGCGGGTCGCGGTGGGCGGGGAGACCCGTGGCCCGCGCCAGCGCCCTGCAGGCCTTTTGTGCTCCGCCTGCCTCCGTCAGGCTCGGCGCTCCAAGCCAGGGTAGAGCCAGGGAGCGAGGAGGGCGCAGGCACCGGCCATGGCCTATCTCGGAAGCTGCTAAACACTGTTCTTAAGACCCCGGATGCAGCATGAGGACTGCATCTGGCTCCTTGCAAAATCCACAATCTGCGATCTATCGCATCCTACAAGGTGAAATGCCAGGAGAGGCGACTATCTGGCCAAGCGTCTCTGTGCTGGAACAAGTTAAAGCAGAAGTCCTGACTGTTTTTGGCAGGAAGGCAAAATGGAAACTGGGGGCAAAGCTACAGAGCAGGCTTTGTGCATTTTAGTTTGCTGTGTGAATTTTACCCTTTCAATTGTAATTTCGGATCAGCCAATTTCCATAAGCAGCTGAGCCAAAGGGTAGAATGGAATGGAAGTAACAGAGGCGAGCTAATTAACGAACTCCTGAGAGAAACATTCTGGAGGTTTGGTTTGCACTCATAGGCTCCGACGCAGCCGGCATCCGGGCGCACCTCGGCCTGCACGCAGCCTTGCACCTCCTGGGTGTCGAGGCCCCATCAACAGACGCTGCCCCCGGGAAGCCTGTGCTCTGCTAGACGGATGGACAGACAAGACGCTCTGTCAGGAGAGTCCAGACATTAATTGACTTTGCCACGTTACAGGATTGTCTGTGTGTGATTGGCCACTACGGGGGAAAGCTGCCTTAGAAACCTAAGTACTTTATCTCACCTACTGGGAAAACAGGACACTTGTTCGGTTACCTCTGAGCCCACGCTTGTCACACTCTAGCTTAAGATAGACAGGTGCGGGCGTCTCAGGTCGCAGTTCAGGGTGCGCAGTGCAGCGTGCCGTCCGGGGCTCTGCGGGCCGTGGGCGGCAGGGCCACCGTGCGGCTGGGCCGGGGCCACCGCATGTTATTGCTTTGGTTCTGTCTGGGGCACGGCACGATGCCTCGGAGCACGGAGTCTCTGGATCACAGAAGGTCAGGACAGGAATTGAGATTTTGCACAAGGAACGAATGCATCTCTCTCTAGGTTAAGTGCAGAACATCATATTTCTAAGTGCTCCATTTATATTAGGTTCCAAATATACATTTTAATTTCATCATGATCATCCACATTAAAATTATGAATGTAAAAATACACAGTAGACTTTTCAGCTGGAAAGAAAAGTGGGGTCTAGCAGCATGCAGAGACCACGCGTTGCCGCGGCCGGGGCGCGCGGGCGCGTGGCGTCAGATGACGTGGCAGCAGCTGGCCGGGCTGGGGGCGCACAGCAGCCCCTCCTTGGGGCTCCGCTGGATGTTCACAGAGATGGTCTTTTCACACAGAGGTAGCTGGAGCACGTTGTTCCTCAGGTTCTTGTTCTTTATCCGTTCCAGCTCGGCACTGGCCCCAGCCACGTGCTCAGAGAAGAACCTGATGCCGCCCACGGCCGGGGCCTGACCTGCACCCCCTGCAGCGCCCACACACATCTTCCACGAGGACTTCTCCTGCACCTTCACGCTGGACAGCGCCAGCCCCCGCTGGGGGTCCAGGATGTACTTGGCACCACCGTGCAGCTGGGAGCCCAGGCAGAGGCCCACGAGCTTCAGGCTCTCCACGAGGTCCCCGGCGCTGCGTGAGGCCAGCTGCACGGAGTTTGGGGGCCCCGCAGCGCAGCGACGCGTGGAGCCTGAGGTGCTGCCAGGGGCGCCGCCTGTGCCCCCTGAGGGGCTGCCACCGCCCGAGCTCTTGTCGCCTGGGCTGGCTTGGTCCGCGCCGCCACCGCCGTGGCTGGGCTTGCTCTGGCCCCCGCCGTCACCCTCGCTGCCCGGGGGCCCCTCGCTGCTGTCCCGGCGGTGCCAGGAATAGGGGAAGCCACTGTCCTTGTCCAGCCGCCGGCGGCTCTCGGAGTCATCGTCGCTGGTTTCAGAGCTGCTACAGCTGGAGCCACGGCCCTGGCTCTTGGTCCGGTGATAGCGTCGGTGCGCGGTGCCCGGCGAGGCAATGTTCATCTTTAGCCGGCTCAGCTTGGGTGGCAGGTTCTCGTCCATGTCGAACTCATCGTCCGACTCGCCCTCCTCGAAGATTTGGTTGAGCACCGGCGCGCTCTTCCGGGACGTTAGGCGGTTGGTCACAGATGGCTTCCGCCGCAGAACCACCTGCGTGGACAGGGACACAGGTTTCTTGTCCTCCTCATCTTCCTCTTCATCTTCCTCCACCCTGAACAGACACTTGCGTCCACTCCCTGTAGGCTTCAGGCCTGCGGCGGGTGTGGCGGAGAGTGCAGGCCCTGCCAACTCAGGGAGCTCATCCTTCTTGGCTGAGTCACCCAGGCCTTTGCTCCTGTGGCCGTTGAGGACGCTGTCGGCTGCCCGCGCAGGAGACTGAGGGACAGCAGCGTGGGACAAAGGTGTGGCCGTGAGGTCGTCCTCAAGGTCCTGGGGCACATCAATTTTGGTTGGCCATGACTGCCTGCAACGAATCAGAAAGAGAAAGGGCCATGAGTCACCTGCAGAGGCAGCAAAAGACACCAGAAGCCCCTGCCACAGCCTGCAGCGCGAGGGGACACAGTGGCAGCCTGGCACCCTAGTCCCCTGCCTGGACCCTCGGGCGGGGCACCACAGCAAGGACCCACAAGTCGTCTGAGACCACCACCTTCACCTGGGGCATTTCTGTTTTCATTTCACACCAATTGTGTAGGCCTAAGACTAAAATCCAGCTAAATTTACACTGTAAGTGTCTGGGGAGCTGACACCAGCCTTGCTTCCCATGAGGCTGCCAGAGGATGCAGCACGCAGAGCGAGAGGCCACCAGGTCACAGGGGTCAGAGTGTCACGGCAGAGTCCCTGTCCTCCCACCCCAAAGCTGCATGCAGGGAGCTGCGCCCCACCGTCCCCACTGCGCAGCCGCAGAGGAGAGGCCCGGATAGGCAGGGCCCTTCTCCTCTTGGGACCCGAGCCCCAAGGCCTCTGAAATGGGACTGGGAGGAGCTGCCCAGCCAGGCGGCGCTAGGCAAGGGCCGGGAGCGGCAGAGGCCCAAGGGCCAAGCAGTCTCGTGAGGGTGGAAACCACCACAGCCCCCAGGGGAGAAGAGGGCCCGACGGGAGCCACTGTGAGTCAGACAGGAGCCCCGGGGCAGAGCTTGGGACAGGCCCAGCAGAGCCCACCAGACACTGCTCCTCCTCCGCCCTGTGCCCTGTGCCCTGTGCCCTGTGAGTCACTGCGGCCCTCACCCCTCACCAGAGAGAAAGCGCACTATTTCAAAATGTCAACTTACTAAAAGCAGTGTAGACATTTTTCTCACCTAAACTGGGCCTTGATGTTGCTCGGACTGGCAGACCGCGTCTGTATCTCCTTCTCCTGCTTTTCTCTCAGGATCCTTTCAGCGAGCAGGAAGTAGGTGGCTGTGATGTGGTTGTACCTGTTGGTTTCCAGGGCTCTGAGGAAAGAGGAGCAAAGGTAAGCTGCATAGCTGCACGCTCTGCACAAGAAGGGTGAAAAAGCACAATCCAGCCGGTGGGCTAGCTCAGCTCACTAAGCGCCTGCTTAGGCACGCGCAGGGACCACAGTTTGATCCCCAGCACCACTTGCCATGCTGGCCCCCCCATGGCGCGCTGAGCAGGCTACTGAGACCAGGTGTGGCGGCGCGCGCCTGTAATCTCAGCACTGGGGAGGCTGAGAGCAAAAGGACCGCTGCGAGCCCAAGCTACGCAGTGAGACCACACACCAAATACACCAAACAGCAGCAATAAAAACCCACGATCAGGGGCCAGGAGACTTTATTGTCATGCAAAAAAGCAGATGGAGGGGAGGGACCTCGTAGCCACTGAGGCCACTACTGAAGTCCTACAGGCAACCCTGCAAGGGCTCATTCAGTGACAACAGTGCAAAACACTAACCGCACTTGGGCCCACAGCGGTTCTAGATGAACAAAGCCCACATTAAACCTTCGAGGAGGGCCCACATTCTCTGCAGAGTGTGCGTGCCAAAGATTCACTACAGCACTTTATCCACTTCCAACACGACCGAAGGGGCCGGCCCAGGCTCCGGCAAGGACACCACTACACGCGCCTGCTCCGAGCTCTGTGCCCGCCGCACTGTGGGCTCACGGGGCTGAGGAGGGGACTGTGTGTGTGCTGCTCTGTCCTGCTCTGCTGCGGAAAATCACTACTTTCCTCCACTGGTTTAGAAAGCAGAGTTCACAAGGACCTGTCTCGCCAGTGCTAGGAGGGACATCCCCAGGGCTGCTGTGGACAGCTGGGGCAGAGCTCCAGGACCCCACGAGGCCCAGAGGTACAGAAGGGCACACGCACAAGGCGGGAGCAGCTCGGGGGCCGGGCACCGACAGTGTATGCCAGGCGGACATGGCTCCGGAGGAGGGCAGGTGCGGCTCCCTGGTCTAGTGCGGCCGCATCTGCGACATGCTGCTGATGCTGTACACTCGGGATGAGGAGCAGGCACTGGGCACCAGGGCTGCCGCCAGTACGGCCGTTACACACTCTTCCCTCAGGTGGAGAGCTCCTTGGCGTGAATTCACATTCACCAGGCACGCTCTGTGCACTCAGGCAGGTGTCTGCCCGGGGAGGCCATGGCCACCCAGGGAGCACAACAGCCCTGCCCTCGACACTCAAGACCAAAGCCACCCCCGAGGCACTGAGCTCTCCTCTCTCTAGAGACACTGCCAGAGGCTCAGGAAGGAAGGACATTGCTGCAGACCGAGTGTCCTTGAGACACAATCCAGCTGCCGCCATCCCGCACAGGAAGAAGGACACGTGCTCACTGACACACCTGGCAGTGGCCTCCCTGTTCACAGAATGAACCAAAACCCAAGGCACTGGCCAGGAGCATGGAGGGCCCTGCCCGCCCTGAAGACAAGCCACAGGCCCTCCGGAGTCCCAGCCCTGGGCCCACACTGAGAACCAACGTACTCAACAATGGCGTCGCGGTCCGCGATGTCCCCGAGCACCATGCGTTGGATGATGCTGTTGTGCTCCTCCTCGGAGAGGTTCTTGTAGGACACGAGGGGGATGTTGTACTTCGTGGCCGGCGAAGGGTCCACGCCCTGGAGCCAAGCGTGGTTTTCAATCTCTTCTAAAGAGGCCCTTCTCTTGGGATCTCTCTGCAGCATCCGGGTGATCAGGCTGTGGAGGAAGGAAGAGTGGCCATTACTACAACTGTTCTCAAGGACGCCAGGTAATGACAGACTTCTAGTAAGAAATGTCGCCCAGGCCACCAGGTCCATCGATGGAGGGAGGGGCACAGACCAGCGAGAGGAGAGCTGGGGGCCGTTGCATCTGTAAAGTAAGAAACAACCCCTACAGCTGCACTGGCACACCACACGGGATGGTCCTGTCCCAAGAATGAGCCCCAGGGCTCCAAACCCGCTCAGCGTGCGGGGGTACAGCACACGCCAGTCCCTATGCCGCGGTCGGCAGTGACACGGCCAGCTTGCGAGCCCCTGAAATGCCGAGCCATGGATCTCTACAAACGGAGTTTACAGAAAGGTGCTGTGCTGACCGCACAACACAGCTGGGCTCTGCACTAACAGTGCAGCGACGTGGGACCCTCACAGGGAGGACAAGGCCAGCCTGGGGCCCGATGCCCTCGGCCGGGTGCAGGGCGACTGGCGACCTGCGGCCTTGCCTCCGGGAGGAAGCAAGAAGGAAGTGCGCTGCTGCTGGCGTCCCAAAGCAGCCTGCCTGGATGCACGGGGTCCATCTGAGGATGCAGGCTCCATGCTGGCCCGCAGCTCACGCCCGAGTCAGCTGCACCGGGACAGCGCCCCTCACCACACGGGTACTGCTGGGACGGGACTGAGCTGCAGACTCCATTGGCCTCGACTCAATTTGAAATGAGATTCTGGGGCTGCCCCCCTAAAAAACACCTCTCTCAACACTACAGAAATACTAAACTTAAAAGTCAGAATGAACCAGGACGCTCAGACGATGTTACCACAGACCGCCCGGCCCGGGGGCTGGCCTTCCGGCCACAGGCTGGCTTTGCTCCCAGGCCCAGCCTGCTCGGCTGCAGAGGTGAGGTGCGCAGGGTGTGTGGGGTGCTGCGGCACAGCCGCGCCTGCGTACTTACTCCTTACACTCCTTGGACACATGTGCAGGCACCGTGTACTTGCAGTCCATGATCATGGTCAGCGTCTCGCTGTCGTTGGCCTCTTGGAAGGGCGGCTGCCCACACACCAGCATGAACAGGATGACGCCCAGGCTCCAGATATCTGCAGAGCAAGGACACGCCCTCAGTAGGCCGCAGTGGGGACACAGCACATTAACAAGACCACAGTGGGCTCGCTGAGCAATCCAAAGCACTGTCTCAAAACAAATGTCCAGGGGAAAGAGTCGAAGCCGTGGAGGGGCCGGGAAGGGCTCTGCGATGCCCTCTGAGTCCATGCCAGGCGCTCGCGAGGGTGACCAGGGAGAGAGCGGTTGGCAGCTGTCGCCCTGGCTGACAGCAAGTTCATCACAAGGAAGACCCTCACTAGCTTTTGGGCCGAAGCGCAACGCCCTGCAGTGCGCACCAGAGTGAAACGAGGAAGACGCCTCTGTCTGCGGTGAGCAGCTCACCAACACCTCCATCCTGATGGCGTACCGAGAGCACTGCAGCTCAGGGCCAGACCCAGCCCGGACCCGACCGTTCGGACTCCACACCTCGGGCCCCAGGCCTAAGTGAGCACCAGGAGGCCCCGGCTCACAGCCGGCAGGAGCAGCTCGGCCAGCGCAGCAGCTGAGGTGCAGAGGAGGAGCAGAGTCCCACTGGGAAAGCCTCCTGACGCAGGCGGGGCCACATGGGCAGAGCTGGCCAGTACCTGAGGACCCCCGCGCCACCGGGGCAGCACCCCAACAGCAGGCATCGCCTCTGGTCACCAGCAGCCACCAGTGGGCAGAAAAGGGCATTTCATCAGATGGACTGAAGACCGAAAAAGTTTATGAAAGAGACCATCAATTAGCTTCAGAAACTAAAATATACATAAAATAGGTTCTTATGGCCAAAAATCGACGCCAGAAGCTCCACAGCACCGACAAAGCTTAGAGGGGAGACGGGGAGGGATGAACAGATGGACGGACGGACGGACACACACACACACACACACACACACACTCACACACCCCACAGGCCAGGGCCTTTACCATCACATGTCAACACTCAGCTGTTGCTTCCACGTAAAATACTCCAAATACGATAATTAAAATTTGCTAGTAAGAAATACTGGAACGAAGAGGACAACAGAGGCAGAAACCCAAAGGTTACACACAGCATGATGTTTTATATGTATAATACATGTTATCGAGGCTCCACCCATGGAAACAGTGAAGTAGATGGAAAAATCTGCTAAAATAGAAACCCACGAATGTGGAAGCGAGCACCCTGCGGACCGGCGCCGGCGCTGCCCGGCTGCCCTCTGAACGCAGGACGACCTGACCTCGGCTGGGCCGCTGCTGGGGGTCGTATCCCCACATGGATCCTATGACCCAGAGGCCGCATCCAACCAAAACCAAACAAGACAAGCAGTAACAGCTGGGCACAGACATTCTTCCAAAAAACAACTGGGGTCTCGCCAAACTTCTCGGCTGGCCTTGACCTTACTTGCCATGTCCCAGGGAGCACCTGGTCTCCACACAGCCAGCCAAGAGAATTTCCGAGCCAGCCCCAGCGGTGCCTGCCTGCCGGGCTAGCTAAAGGGGATCTGTGGAGCTGGTGTTTAACCCACGCCCTCTGCACACCCTGAACCTGCCATTCTGGTCCCAGCCCAGCTCCCAAGCACACTGCGAACCGCGGCACTTACAGCTCTCACCCTCTCCACCGCTGCTCTTCTCACAGAACAGCTCCGTTCTAGACTGTAAGTGATGCAAAGCTCACCTTTCCACTGGTGCTCACCACACAGGAATGGGAACGGGCCAAGTTCTTATTTATAGTATATGCTTGGCTACATCCCCTTCCACCAAAAAGAACATTTTCTTAAATGACTTGCAACAAAAAATGCATACATATTAAAAATCTGTTAAGTTAAAGTAAAATCCTTATTTTTCTATTGCCAAATACTGACAATGTTTTGCACCACCACGACAACAGCACCTTACCAACTGCATCTGGTGCACAATTAACTGGGAGCTTTCCACAGACGTCCTGTGAAACCATAACCTGTCGAAAATGAGAAAACTAGTTTGCTTTTTTACTTTATCCTCTGATAAACCAGAGGTGACATCTGACAGTACAACTATAGAGTGATACTCTAAAAATATAAGTAACCAATAGTAGCTGTTACCCCTAATCCTTAGGTGGTTAAAGAAAACTTTCCTCTTCTGTTAAACATTAATCTGACAAGAAGTCCATTCCCTTGCACTTAACCCTCCTCAGAACTGCTGGCTCTGGGCAGAGCGCGCATGCAGGAAATGACACGGACGGGAGCGCGACGCACGGGGACAGCGTGAAGGGCACCCTGCACCAGGGCCAGCTGGGGCTCACAAATTTCTGAGCTCAGAAGCTCTGAAGGCGATTCCATGCTAAGCAGCCTGCTGAACTGGATGACATAAAACGAAGCTCTGAACCAGAAACGATCGGGAGTGTAACAGAGCGAGCAAGGTCTTAGCGAGGGCCAGGAACCCTCACGCCTGGACAACGTAATTACGGAAACACCAAGCAGTCCTGCCGCTGTCCTGAACGTGCACTTTTGGTTATCATGCCCTGAGCCAGTGATGGCAAACCTTTTGGAACTTTCGACGCCACAAACAGCCTGCTGCAGCACGCACGCCCTGGGTTTGCCCCTCTTCCCCGAGCAGTACAGCCTGATGCTATGGATACCGCGGCAACACTGAGCAGGTCTCTCAGGTTGTCTGGTGGCAATGTGACACGCACAGGGGACCTACAGCTTCTGTGTTGTGAGGGGACGAGGCCATCCTTGGGTGTGGGCAGGAAGTACCCCAAGGGATGACACTACTTTTCAGACGGGTGATGATCTGGGGCCACGAGTTGAAAATGGATCACTACAGGACACAGGAGTGGGGCGGCCTTGGCCAACCTCAGTGTGAACATGCCGTGTAGTGGAGTACTGCAGCCATCCCCTTCCCAGGAAGCCGCGGTGCCCTCGAGAGTTAAGAGGTCCCAGCTGCGAATCCAGCGCAGAGGAAATGTTCCACGGAGGCTGCCGCTGCCCTGGGCACAGTGGCCACACAGGGGTGAGCCGTGCAGGACTCCCCACCCCCAGCGGACAGGCAGAGCTGAGTTGACGGAGGCATGGTGCCACATGGGGAGAAGCAGAGTGAAGATGAAGTGGCGCGAGGCCTGAGCGGATGTCCCAGCACTCAGCCAATCGCACGCCACGGGGAGGATGACCTGTTGCCCACACGGGCGCGGCTGAGGGTTTATCTCAACAAAAACCCACTTAGGGGCTATCTTAAAGTGCTTTTTCTAAATCGACAAACTCCCAAGGGAGGCACAGCCTCCAGCTGAGACACTAGGTCTGCCAGGGACCAGGTGAACTGGAGCCAGAGCACAGGGCCGGCCCGACTGCTCTGCACGGCTAAAACACGTTCACAGACTTGTCGAAGCACAGGCGGCACCGCCCACTGGGCACATGCAGCGTCACTGCTCGGATCTGAGACCCTGGACTTCAGACAGGGCACAGTGGAGCTGAGGTAGCTCCGACTAGCCAGGGATGGGTACCCAGTCCCCACAGGGCCCCTGGGAACAAGCGCCCCGCAGCAGCACCCCATCAGCCGGACAGGGGCAGAGTGCACGATAAAAAGATCAAACTGCAAAGAAAGGGAGAAGGACCCACTGACGACCCCAGAAGACACAAATGGGGGGGCATGACTACTGGGAGGCTTGCTCGAAGGCAGTGTTTTTGGTGTTTCTGTTAGTTTGAGGCACAGTATCAAGGAAGGGCCAGCTCAGGCTGGCCCTGAGCTCACTCTCCAGCCTGGCTAGCCTCTAACTCATGGTGATCCTGCTGCTCAGCCTTCTGCGTGCTGGGGTGACAGGCGTGCGCCACCACACCTGGCATAGCAGCGTTTTTAAAGTGAATTATTGACAGCCAGGGCGAGAACAGGAACAGGAAAGCGCTGAAGCAGATCAGAAGGTTCAGGCAGAAGCCGCCTGCCTCTGGCTGCCTCTGTCAGTGCCATGAGCCACGGAGGCAGCGACAGTTAGAAGCTCTAGCTCCCACCGCTGACACAGGGCACCTTTCACATGGCCTGTCCAGTGCCGAGACTGCAGTCACCTTTGGTCCCTGCTGTGGTGTCAGCCAGTGACACAGGCTCAGTGCCAAGGGCCAGGCTTCCGCGGTGCAGTGCAGCTTCTCCGGGGGAGTCGCCAAGCCTGCGGCTGAGGCCAGAGCCTCAGAGGCTTCTGGGTGCTGAGAACCCGTGTCACTGCTGCCTACCAGCCCAGTTCCTCCTCACGTGGCAGCGACAGCCGTGTGTCCGAGTCACCCAGGGTTCTGACTACTAAAGATGTGCAGTTCACCGGGAGGACAGGACGAGAGAAGGCTGCAGAGGTGGAGTGTTGACCCCTGAGTGAAGCAGACAGGCATGAAGCGCTCCCCTTCAGAGCTGGGCAAGTCTTTCGGCCAGGCTTCGGGATTTTCTGCCACCCTGGTCCCACCGCGAGTCCGTCTGAAGCAGGCTGTACTGTTCCTTCAACAACTCAGGCGCTAAGAATGACTGAGCGCCTCATGTCCGCAACACTTCTTTCCCACACCACACTTCATCCAATGCCCCTCGGTGGCTTCAAGCATAAGAGGTTTTGTTTGGGGGGGCGGGAGGGGTCCTGGAATCAAACTCAGGGCCTCTGCTTGCCAGGCGGCTGCTGTGCTGCTGAGCTACATCCCCGGCCCCTGGTGACTCCAAAAGCCAAAGCTGCCTGTGCCAGCTTATCACCTTAGGCCCAGATCATGGAGTCACTGACCTGTCCACACACCCAGGAGCACCGAGGAGACAGTGCAGGCCCATGCTGCAGGCCCTGGACTCCTCAGCAAGGAGGCGCCAGCAGCTCCACCAGTGCTCGACACCCTCAAGGCTGCCCCAGGGTCTCAGCCTTCCCGGTGGCCCCCAACGCCCTGCCCTCCACGGAAGAGCTGGTCAAAAAGGAGCTCTGTGTTCTCACCTTGGGCTGTGACTGCGACGCTTCTCCATCCCTTGGCCACACGCGGGCCCTGCAGACAGAGTACTGCATCCTCTGCTGCCGGCTGGCGCCTGCACAGTGCAGTCTGATGAACGCGGG